AGCTGCCACCTCATTATTTATTTGTGATCATATCAATTCTATGGAATTTAACTCGCAGTGATATGGGACAACCACTACACAACTTTATTGGTTTCTTTAGCTATTTCATCGACAACATACAAATTATGTGTATCTTTATGTTCCCGAAAGCATTCCTGCATTTCAGCTTTTCTTGATGACAAAGGAAGTTTTTCGATTATGATATGCATTTTCCATCACAATCACAGCATAATTAGGAAACTGTCAAAAAAGTAGAAAACCAATTCTAAATACTTTGGATTTCGTCTTTTCATGGTAAATGCATTATTATACTATCTGAAGGTTTGATCAAGCCTGTACGTGCATGCCTAGTATTGTTACTCATGTTCAATTACATTGTATTCATAAACTATGACTAATGGCTTAAATAAATTTCCCGGGCTGCATTAAAAAAAACTATCAAACGGAATGCAATCTTGACCATTTTCTACGCCTTTTTTACTTTCCTGTCTGTATACAGAAGGAAAGTATGGGAATCGATGGATTTTTATGGTTTTGGGTCCCCTGAATCCATTTCGACTATTTTCGCGATGATGTCTGTATCCACGATCGATAACTCAAAAACGGATAAAAAGACGAACACTAAATTTAAAACGACTCGGTGACGTAGTTTTCTCACGCGCTTATATTCACTTATATATAGGCAATTTTCTGGTTGAGAGACAAAGCGACTTCGAATCGAATAGCAGACTATGTGAATTTTTAATAATAATTTGCATGTTTCGTAATGGGATTTGATGTGTACCGTATTAGCGCAGTAATTTAATTTCTGTTGATATGGCATCCAGATTATAAATTGCCCTGCGTTTTAATGATGGTGAATGAAGTTTTCCGGCTTTTCCTCATCTGTAAGTCAGATGGCACCATCGTGATTTAAATGTAAAAACATCACGAATTAAATACACATTTTTCTTAAGAGAAACAAATTCCTTAGAAATATTAAAAGTGTGTAATGACATAAACAACAAAACTGCATCAGGATATGATGGAACATCAGTAAAAATATTTCAAAACTGACGTTTTATCTATTTTAATAAATAAAAGTTTTACTGAAGGAACTTTTCCTCCTTTTCTTAAAACGAGTGGTGATTCCATTATATATATAAGGGAGGAGACTTGACTGAGCCGTCTAATTTTAGGCTCATATCTCTAACTCCGACATTGGGGAAAACTATTAAAAAACTCAATTAGTTAGATATCTAGACCAGAATAATATACTGGACATAAATCAATTCGGTTTTCAACGAGGTCGTAGCTTTAGTATTTTGGGATCTGACTAAAAGCTTTTGACTGTGTCAACCACGGAGTAGTACTGTGAAAGCTTGAAGTTTATGGTATAAAGAGATATGGTCTTATGGATGAAATCCTACCTTTTAGATCGCAAACAGCTAGTCCGAACTGCGAAAACAAGCAACATAAAATGGGGTGTCCCTCAAGGTTCTGTTCTTGGGCCCACCCTGTTTTTAAGCTATTGCATAGCTTTTATCGCGGGCTTTGAGTGCGGCGACCGAATCAAGAAATTCCGTAACGACCGTAACGAAAAAAACCTAACACCCCCCACTCCGACCGGCACAGCGGTGCGGCGTTAAACAATATTAACTTCTCATTTATTTAATAAAAGAAAATCGAAATATCGAAAAATCGAGAAATCGAAACAAATTCCGTAACGAAACTAAACCTAACATTCCCCACTCCGACCAGCACAGCGGTGTGGCGTTGAAAGCCGTGCATCGTCTAACGTCGTTTCAGTTTGGCAGACTTCGGCACGGTGTTGGTGTGCGTGCGACTAGACGTATGCGTGTAGACTAGCTGCTAACTGATTCTAACTATTTTAGACACAATTTCGGAAAAATTAAATTTGAAAATGAATAATGATTCAGAAGAATCCACAACAAAATATGGGACCACCATTGACGCGGTATTTTTCAGATATTTAGAGGATATCAAGTCTCAAACTTATGTTTCCTATTTCAGTTACCATAAACATATAGTTTCAATGATAAAAATTCCTGAATAACATATATGTATTGTAAGATAATAAAAATATTTTAAACAATATTAACTTCTCATTTATTCAAGAAAAGAAAAAAATTGTTTTCTTATCGGTCACCACGCTTAAAAAGTGTAACTTGAATTAATATCAAAGAAATAACTTGAATATCAAAGAAAAAAATACTGCATAAATAAAATAAATAAATAATTGCATGAGTTGATAATGCTATGCAATAGCTTTACCGCGGCAGTCCCCGAGTGCCACCAGTATTTTTTAATTTATATAAATGATTAAGGTAAGTTAAATATCTCAGGAAGTTTCACTCTATTTGCTGACGATACTACTCTATCTTGTGGCATAATAAAAACGTCAATATTATTTATGCAAATATTAGTATAATAACCTCAAATCTTTTACTGCAAATGTTCTTTAATTAAATTAAAAAAAAAAAAATACTAACCTTCAAATGTAATATTTTAGTAGATATGGATACTATAGAAATCACACACGTTTTTAGATTTAAATATCGACACGGATTTGAAATTCAAATCTCATGTTGATCCACTTTTAAAAAAACAGCATCGGGTTGTTATACCATTTATGAATTATACCTCTCATGAATTAGGAGTTTGTGCAGCAAAAACGGCATAATATGCGTTAGTTGACTCTCATTTACGTTATGAGGTTTAGTTTCGGGGAGTTTGTTCTGCCGAGTTATTTGGTAGTCTTTATAATGCAGAAACGGACAATAAGGTTCTTACGTAAAGCGTGCAATTACTTTCATGTAGACCGCTGTTCTTTTAAAATATGAACTATTAACATTACCTTCATTATTTTTCTTAGAACTTGTTGCATGATCATAAGAACAAGAAGTCGAAATATAAATCGAATATATCCCATGTCACTCGCTAAACGGGTAACTTGAAGTTGCCTATTAACAAAACTGAACTTATGAGAGACATATACAGGGTGTTTCAAAAATATTGGTCATAAATTGTACCACATATTCTTGGGTCAAAAATAGGTCGATTAAACCGTACTTACCTATATACAAAATAAGTGCACCCAAAAATAGTTACAGGGTGTATAAGATAAAAATTTAAATGAATTTTTTTAACGTTGCTCTTAAACCGTTTGGACATTTTTTCATAAAATTTTATGACATGTTGGACTACCATAACTAACAAAATCAAGGTAGAGGCAATATATATTTTTATTTTTGTTGGATTTTGGAGGGTGTCACCGCCCCTTTCTCTACTCAACTTTTTTGTAATATAAAATTTTATTAAAAATCAAACGCTACTCTGAAATGCAACATCTATTTGGAAACTTTTTTGTCTCTTAGTATTTGTTTGTAAAATGTTTGGTTTAGACGATACAGCAACTTAAAATGACATCTTAAAAATATTTAATGTAAATTATACGTATGCAAAAATACCAAAACTCGATTTTCATTGTTAAAACTATATAGTAAGTGTATACAGGAGGAGAATGTAATTTTGAACACCTGTTAAATTAATTTTTTTTTATTTTGATGACATTAGTTTGTAATTTAAAAATAAACTTTATTTTGATATTTTTCATACGTAGAATTTCCATTGAATATTTTTAAGTTGTCATTTCAAATGGCTGTATCGTCTAAACTAAACTTATTACAAACAAATACTAAGAGACAAAAAAGTTTCCAAATAGATGTTGCATTTTATACTACAAAAAAGTTGAGTGGAGAAAAGAGCGGTGACCCCCCTCCAAAAACCTATAAATATCAAGAAAAAAAATATTGCCTCTTCCTCGGTATTATTAGTCATGGTATTCTAGCAAGTCATATAAAATTTCATGAAAAAATGCCAAACTGTTTAAGAGCAACGTTCAAAAAATTTATTTAAATTTTTATCTTATACACCCTGTAACTATTTTTCGGTGCACTTTTGTATATAGGTAAGAACGGTTTAATCGACCTATTTTTGACCCAAGAATATGTGGTATAATTTATGACCAATCTTTTTGAAACACCCTGTATAATGGCATCAAGATGTACAACAGGCTATCACACTTTGACAGATGTTGAGTCACAAAATTGTTTTAGAAAGTTGCTCAGGAGATTTCTGTTAACTAGGCCTTTTGTATATTACATAATTTTATAATGACGAGACACTGTGATATGTTTTATTTTATAATGTTTGTTTATATTTTAAAGACTATTTATTTATTTATTTCTCTTTTGTATAACAATATTGAGTTTGTCAATAACTATTTTAACTTGGACAATAAACATATATTTTCTCTCTCTCAATCATCTGCCGGAGCGCCACGGCAAATAATAACAGTCTTCCCTACACAAATTCAGTCGGCTTCAGGGTTGAAATTAGGGAAAGTAGGTATCATTATAAAACGCAACTTTAATCCATCCTCTAATGAGATTAGATTTTGGGCATAGTCGGAGCATCTGGAGGGTACTTTAATAGGGGGTCGTTTTTCTACTTTAAAAAACATATGTTATTTACGCTTGGAGAAGAAAATTAATTAAATAAAAGTTGTAACATATCACTTTATTTATGGTCCTGAAGATCGCCAAAGGACGAAATCAGTTGTCATTTAATCAATAACATTTATTTATGTGGGTGTTTTCGAGACTTTTTCTTACCTTAAGATGACCACCTTAGATCAATTGGATACCTTTCTTTAGTTACCTACTTTTCATGTTTAATGTTTACCTGACCGAGTCCACATCTTCAAAAAATCAATATGAAAAATTAAACAAAGATCTAAAACCCGTATGCATAGTCGATCGCCAGCGATTCGCCGGAGATTCATTCCGGCGGATCGCCAGCGAATCGCTGGCGATCCGCTGGCGAAAGCCCGACAAGGTGGCGACCCGCTGGCGATTGTCACCGGCATGTCATTTCTCGCAAGTTTTCATGTTCTTTTATAGGGATTATCACCGGCATCTCTCGCATTTTATTATTCATTCATTTCTTAAAACTCAAAAAACAATAAACGAATATCAAATTTTTCCCTATAAAATAACTTAAAAACTTGCGTGAAATGACATGCCGGTGACAATCTCCAGCGAGTCGCCACCTTTTTGGGCTTTCGCCGGCGGATCGCTGGCGATGCGCCGAAATGAATCTCTGGCGAGGCGCTGGCGAGTCGCTGGCGATCGACTATGCATACGGCTGTTAGAATATTTAAATTATAATATAATAACAATAATAAATACAAACATTTTCATAAACTTATTTCTAATCAGAATAATCGGAATCTTGGTCATCCTCTTCCTTATCATTAAAATCAGGATCTTCCTCTTCAGAATTTTTCACGGCTGTAATCTCCGCTTTAGCAGATTTTTGATGGAACACGAAAGATATATATTTCGACATGTCCCAAATTTGTTTCAGTACCTAAAAACGCGAATAAACATAAAATGGACCTTTACTTTAAGAAATATATGTATTTACGCTTGAAGAAAAAAAATTCATTAAATAAAAGTTGCTTGATGTCATTCTCTATAATTTTTGTCCTGTACATGATTTATGTAAAATGGTCCGTATAGGAGAAATGTGACAAAAAGTTCAAAATTCTAATGTTTAAGGAAATTGTTCAAATAAAAGTTGTTTGCGATATCATTCTTTATAATTTTTTATACATGATTTCTCTACAAGTATAACAAATTAAAAATTTAAAAAAACCGACTTCAAAAACGTGCAGATGCCATCACCACATTTTAACCAAATTTATATGGGACCACCCCTGAGGTACCCCCTTACTTACAAAAAAAGAATCGTATAAATCGGACAAGGTGGTAAAGCATTATCGCTTAACATACATAAAAAATGAAGACTTTTTTCTCATGGATCCAATTATTAGATTTTGACCAAATTTATATGGAACCACCCCTAAAGTATCCCCTTTCTAACAAAAAAAGAATTATTGAAATCGGACGCAGTGTTAAAAAATTATCGCTGAACATACATAAAAATGAAGAGTTTGAGGATTTTCTCATGGGCCCAATTATTAGATTTTGACTAAATTTATATAGGACCGCCCCTGAAATACCCCCTTTCTAACAAAAAAGAATCATTGAAATCGGACACCGTGTTAAAGAATAATCGCTGAACATACATAAAAAAAAAAAAAAAAAAAAATATCGCGACGAATTGATAACCTCCTCCTTTTTGAAGTCGGTTAAAAATGGACCGTACTGGAAAAATTTGAGGAAAAGTGTAAAATTTTAATGTTTCAGTATTTTCGTTGGCAATGATAATGTATATTATATAAAAAAACTTCTTACCATATCTGCCAATCCTTTTTTATCCCAACAATGATACCACTGGGATAAATCATCAGTGCAATCGGCTTCTTCTGGTGGATTTTTTATTTGAATTTTATTAAGGCACCTTTTGCATTTTAATCTTTGATGCGTGTCCGACTCTGTATTTTCTAATCTAAAGAGATCCCTTAATTCAGCAACACTGAAATGCCTAGCCGTTTCTTCATTCATATCCACCACTGTCGAGCTGAGAGCCTTTTTGTGAGCCTGTCGTTGGAAAATCTTTTCCTCTATCGAACCCGCCTTAATAAAATCGGAGAAATAATTAGAGTTTTTGATGAAAACGATGTAAGAAGCAACTATTACTTACAGCCAAAAACCTATAAATGAAACACGGTTTCTGTTGCCCATCCCTCCATACTCTAGCCATGGCTTGGTCATCGTTAGCCGGATTCCAATCAGGATCAAACATGATCAACCTATTGGCACCAATCAAATTGAGACCGCAACCGCCTGCTTTAGAACTCAGCATAAATATAAATTCCTTTGATTCGGGATTGTTGAAATTTTCTACAACTTTTGCCCTCTTTTTTATCGTCATTGTACCATCTAGACGAACGTAAAGATAGCCTCTGAAAAAGACAAATATTACTTTATAGAAAATAAATTACTGCAAGTCAATATATAAAAACAAACTTTATAAAGAATGGTAAAGTAACTTGAATGATAAAAAAAACAACTTGTTATGAAAATGGAAATAGTATGGAAATAATATTAATAAAAACAAAAACAAAAATAAAGATAAAATAAACAAGATATGTATAGATAAATCCATGAAGAAAACAGACTGTAGAAAATTGTAATAAAGATGAAAAGTAGTAAAACTAGCGGAAAGAACAAATGAAAATCGTCCAGAGTTAAGCACCTAAGTGAGTTAAACACTTGTGTTGTGCCACTCTAAACGATATACTGTGTTGTATTACATTAAATATAAATTAAAAATTTAACATGTAAGAGCAAATATAGAGTAATTTTATAAATACTTTTTTTGTTATTATTTTAGTTATTATTTTAGTGCCTACCTACATATTCTATTATATACATTTATTTTATTTTTTATTCTAGAATTTTTACAAATTCAATATAATTATGAAAGATAAAATTTCTAGATACAGTGGAAAAACGTTTAACTAGTGGTGAGCCTAATATCTAACGGTAATAAATTGCATGCTTTTGGCAAAGTATGAATAAAAAATCTATGACTAATATTTTTTTCTAAATCTTCGGGTGGTTAGGAACTCATTAGCAGTACTGCGGGTTTGGTATACAGAGGGTACACTATTCTGGAAGAAATTGTTTTTAAAAGCATATACAGGGTGGCTCACGCTCAACGGGACGGAGCTTTACGGGAAAACGACCAAAGATATAAAAAATTCGTTTGGGAGGAATACGTAGGTTACAGACGGCTACAATTTAAAATTTGTTAGATGTATACAGGATGTCCCACATAAGAGAAAATATACAAAGTTATATTATTTTTAATGGAACACCCTGTTTTTTATTTTAGAATTAAAAACTACATCAAAAATAATGTCAGTTAACTAAAGGTTCCCTATTACTATTATTATTAGTTTTCGATTTATTTGAATTTTTAAGGAAAAAAGTCTCCCAGAAATTAATTGTTTACTCTTGTTTGAATAATTTTTAATGAACTAATTTTTTTTTCTTATGTGGGACATCCTGTATACATCTAACAAATTTTAAATTGTAGCCGTATTTTTTATATCTGTGGTCGTTTTCCCATAAAGCTCCGTCCCGTTGAGCGTGAGCCACCCTGTATACATAAGCTGTGAAAATAAAGTGATGGAATATTGCAAATATCCTCTGTATATAATAAGTTTGTGTGATATCGTCCTTGTTTCTTGAGTATAATTTTTAAAATGTAATTTTGCGTAATATTTAGTTTCTGCAATGAGTTCCTGTACAATCCTCCCCATATAAAGATTCCATAACGGAAGAGTGATTCAGCTAAAGTCTTGTAAATTAGTAATAACAATTTTCTCGAAAGAAACTCTCGTAGTTGATAGAATTTGTAGATAAGCTTCCTCACCTTTCTCGTCAGATAATCTATATGGTTAACCCATTTTAGATTTTTATCAATAATTATGCCCAAGTACTTGACTTCGTTTGTCTCTTTAATTTCATCTTGCATACCTGTTATTTTTATACTAGTGAAGTCTGGTCTATTAGTTTCAGTTAAAGTAAAGGCGAGATAATTTGTTTTGTTTGCATTTAACGAAAGTTGATACTCATTGAGCCACCTTTTAACTTTTCCAATACCCAGTTGAACAGCAACTTTAGTTTCAGCCCATGAATTTTCACGAAATATAACTGTAGGATACAATAGTTGCCTCCTTTAATAACGATAAAAGAGTGTTGATATATGCCAAAAATAGAACTGGGCCGAGGACGGTACCCTGAGGCACCCCTATTTTTACAATCTCAGGTTCACTTATCGTATCGTTAACTTTAACGCATTGTTCCCGATTTGTGAGGTAACTCTTAAAAACATCTAACACTATGCCACGAACGCCATAACATTCTAGAGTATTAAGGAGCTTTTCGTTATTGACCGTGTCAAACGCTTTAGCGAGATCCAGAAAAACTGCTATACATTTTTTATTGTCATCTAAACCCTCTGTAATGTCCTTAATAACTGAGCACATAGCATCACTGGTTGCTTTGCCAGAGCGAAAACCAAACTGCTGTTTATGTAATATATTATTGTGATCAAAAAATTTCAGACACTTTTCAAAAATCGTTCCAAAATTATTTATTACACATATATTAAATTTTTCATTGGATATATTATAATTAAGATCGGATTTGATTAATGTTATAATACCATCATTTCTGTTGAAGTCGCCTCCATTGTGTATAGTGGTATAACCAGGAATGTTCAGATTATTTACGGCTGCAGTTTGAAAAGACTCACTTAAAACAAAAATATCACAAGTAGATAGTTTGTATGCTTCCATCAGTACCAGGAATTCATCGAAGTTGTTATTTGCACTCCTTATATTGAAGTGCTTATTTGATATCAAGGATACGTATTTATCAGGATTTATATAGGTCCCACGATGATCTTGTTCTAATTGACTTAAATTTTCCAAAATAATGTCTTGATCGATTAGTACCATTAAGGAGAATAATCGATTTTGGCTTTTAGCAATTTTATGTGATATTGCAATGTGGGACACTCACTAGTATCTGTTGAATGGTGGTTAGTATCATTCTTCAGTTTATATTTGTAATTTGAATTTACACAATTGATGCAGACTTTTTTTTGTTTTGGACAGTCTTTTTGTTCATGTTCTTCACTGCAATAAGGACATGTTAATTTGTTTCTGCAATTTTGTTTTTTATGGTAGAACTCTTGGCAACGAAAACAGCGGGGAATTGATAAGTCTTCGTAGACAGGAAAACGTTGCCAACCGATGAATACCTTCTTTAGCTGCATTAATTGGTTAAACGTCGAAGCTGAGCATTCTCCATGTATTGTATTTTCTCCGTTTTTTCCTTTTTTAATGAACGTTACATTAAAATCTTCTAGTGTTTAATTTTGTTGCAGTATAGAATCTGCAATTTCCTCTTTATTTAATTCTTCTCTAAAATTCATTATTTTTGAAGTTTCAACGGTATAGAAGTTTGCTAATGTGTTTCTGGCTGTATTTTCGAGAACTTCAGATTCTTTTTTACTTTTGCACTTGATGATCACAGATCCGGATTTAGTTGTTACCAAATTTGTTATTCTATTTTTAAATTGGCAGGGTTAATGTTAGTATTGATGTCTTCTCTTGTTTGTGTTGGATCTTGGTTATTTTTTGATTTAATTATCACATCTGGAACATTTTGAGGTATATTGGTGGGTAGTATATTTTCTTGTAAAGTCGTCACTTTTGCATAAGATAAAAAGGGTCCATTTTTCTCTATTTTCTCATTTTCTTTAATCCTTTCTTGCAGCATTTTTATTATTTCATTTTTATTCTTTATAATTTCATCTTTATCAGCGATTATAGTTTCTTTATCTTCAGTTTTACTCTTCAGTAGTTTAAGGTAGTCATGGTTGCGAGATGATTTACAATTAAATTGCAGTAAACGTCTTTGTAAAGGTGGCACCTTATTTCAGAAGAAGAGAGTTCAGTGCAACTTTTACTTTCTCTATACTGATAAGGATTGCCCTTATTGTAAAAGTATATTTAAGAATAATTAAACAATTTTTGCAGATTTACTAGTTTCTTCACTATTTTTTTAATCAAACTTCACTCTTTAGGTCCATAATTGCATGTACTAATGGTTAAACAATTTTCACAATTCTTTGATATATTAGAAAATATTTACTGTGTTTGTTTGAAATTGTATTATCTTAACTCTTGCAGAAATTAACTGTACGAGATTGTTTGATAGAATGAATATGAAAAATATTAAAATATTTTAAAAATTAAAACTGCTTCAATCTACGACTTAGGGCCAATTCCACCGTTGTGTTAAACGGAGATTAAAATGACATTGTTAATGTAAAAATGTAATTTTAAACTTCGTTCAACACAACGGTGGAATCGGTCCTTAGCTATATAAAGCCAAGTGGTGTATGATTATCAAATTGTTTCTGACCAATGATGTACTTTGCTGCTTCGACTTGTTACTTAGTTTATTTTTTTATGGTTAAAAATGCTTTATGTTTTTAATACCAACTTTACTAAATTAAATGAAAAAAGCAGTTAAGAGAAAGCTAACACATTTTATGGATACACGTAGTTTAACTTCGCGGCAGTAATTTGGGTTTCATGAAGAACTCAACTAATGAGTGCTTAGTTTCTTTAGTATAAAAATTTATTGATAAGACTGAACCCCTGGAAGTAGTTTTCCTTGATTTGCAAATGCATTTAACATTGTGAATAGGACTGCCACACAAATTCTTTGAAAATTCATAGAAAACAGGTAGTAAAAATAGAAAATAAATTTAGTACTGAAAAATCGATGTCATTTTTGGCGCACCTTGACGAACTTTTATATTGTTCTATACTTTAATAAACATTATTATTATTGAAAAGACCAAGCAAATTAAAGAATACAATACAAAACTCACCGTTTCTTACATAAAGTTTCGAATAAATCCAAAGTCTGAGTGTAATTAGAAACTAAAACAATCTTATCACTATAATTGGCCTTAAGGTTAGCCAAAAAACAATCTAAAAGCATCAACTTTCCAGATAACTCGGGCCTTACGTCGTTAGAACCGTTTTTGGGCGGCAAAAGGTTTCTACTCTTTTCGAATCCCTCTGACCCTTCTTCAATCTTATCCAATATGAGATCCGGATGATTGCACAATTTTTTCAACGTTGTAATGCTGGCCAAGCTGCTCAGGGTGTTGCCAGATCTTTCCTCTCCATTTACGGATCTTTTTATGAACTCCGAATTGATGTAGTTGAGGTAGAGTTGCTTTTGTATGGGCGTCAATTGGCAAATTATTATCATTTCGAACTTAACTGGTAAATATTTGGTTAAAAGGGATGAAGTACGGCGAATCAAGCATTTATTCACTATGTTTGTGAGTTCTAGAAGCCTTTCAGAAGCATGCTGACGTTCCAAATCAGTGGCAGTAGAGTCTTGACCTAAAATAGAAATCCAGTCATGTAAAAATCAATATATTTCTGATATCTACAAATAAATTTCGCCATTCAAAACGTGTTGATAGAAAATTGTTTTTAGATTTTTTTCTTGCATAGTTGTTAAAATAACATTTATACCTCTCAGAATGTAGTTCTCAAATTTCTTTTTAAATTCAGAGGCATTGCCCAGCAACCCTTCATTTACAAAATGTATTAAACTGAAATATTCTAGTAAATCATTCTGAATAGGTGTACCACTAAGTAAGACTCTTCTTTTCGCTTTAAGTCCCATCAATGCTCTGTATGTTTGATTTTCGCAATTTTTTAATCTGGAATTAAAATCAAGCTCAAATAATTTGAATCAAATGTTATTTTTCAGCTTTAAATATTAATTTAATATTAGAGAATATTTATATTTTACCTGTGGCCTTCATCACATAGAACTAATCCTATTTCACTGCTATGTAAAATTGAAGCATGCATCCTAAATGTTTCATAAGAAATTATGAGTACGGGTATGGAGGTTCTACCCTGTCCTTGCATAAACTGTAGTAATTTTTTCTTTGCATCTGCACCACCATCCATAATGATTGATTGTAAACGGCCTTTGAGCCACTAAAAGGTTTATATAAAAGCTAATAACACAGAAATGTGTAAAATATTATATTTATTTGCCATGTGATAAGTATAACAATTATTCCAAAAGTTCACTGTACAGAATATTTATATCTTACCTTCAACAATCCACAAAAATGACAACACCTACCTTATTAATTTCATTACTCCAATTTTTTACCAATGAACTGGGGCAAACTATAATTCCTTTTTCAATTGTAGGCCTAGCCTCAGGTCCTTGTTTGACCAAAGTCCACAAAAGAGTAATGCATTGTAAAGTTTTACCTAAACCCATTTCGTCAGCCATAATACAACCATATGAATCAGGAATTTGCACCCCAGTAACACAATCATACATAAATTTGACTCCCTAAAAAGTATGCATTTAAAAATAGACAATGATTTGTCTACATATGCCGCGTTTGAGAATCCACATCGGATGCATCTCTGAGATGTAATAAATCTTTGATCACGTGATTCAGTATACATAAATGGATGTGGATAAAAAAAACGCTGGAGATGTAAAAAATGCATCCGATGTGGAATCTCAAATGCAGCAATAATTATACAATATACCTCTCTTTGATGGGGTCTCAAAATATTTCCTAAAAGTGGATCGACAACAACATGAACAAGTAGAGGCCTAAAAATTATAGATATAGAAAACAACATGAACCAAACTGTACTACAGCGTTGATATATAAAAAATAGCAATATTTCTGTTACAAAATTCAAATACCCTTCTGATTTGAGTTTATCATGCTGGGAAACTTCGGGAGGAGCATATAATACTAAGGCATTTGGCATGTTGGGATCATATAGAGCTCTTTTAACTTGTGGTCTCCTAATGCCCAAATTTCTGGTAGAATTTGAGCCTTCATAGTTTGGAATTGGACACTTGAATGGTCTAGATAATTTTTTGATAACTTCTTCCTAATAATGTAATTTATTAATTTACAATTTTTGTCCCTTACCTTTTCAGAAAAAAACAAATGGAAAACTTACGTGATCAGATATAATAATAATTTCTGCGGTAATCTGAGTGAGAGGTGGACGTTTGCAATTATTCTTATTATCTTTAGAATGATCTCTTGTACGCTTTGCAGGTAAAGGTGAAACGAAACAGTTTGTTTGCTGTGAAAGTGTATTTTGAATTTTGTCTTTTTGACTTGGGGCCAAACTTCGTCTCTAGAAATTAGTTAAACGTTTAAGTATGTTAAATTTGTGACAATATTATAAGAATTACCATTGTTCAAATTGTTTCTAGCATTATTAAAAAAAAAGTTGAAAGTTAGGTTACAATTTTGAAATTCAAACAAAAATAATATCAGTGTGGCGGCAAACTCTTCGTTTTATTCCATTTTTAATAAGGTCCGTAATTATAAAGAGAACTCAGCTGGTCGGACTTGCGTAAGTAGTCCTTGAACTAAAATCGAAGTTCGGTTATATAGCGTGAATTTAGGCCCGTATTTATAAACAGAACTTACGTGAGTCGGACTCACATACTTAAATATTGTATTATTTCTTTTAAAAATTCTGTACAAAATTATGTATTTAAAAGTGGAAAGAGCTAGACATCTGCAACCAAGTTTTCATATTGCTGTATTTCTGGTCATCTATGTACTAGTAATCTTGTATAAAAATGGCCGCCCCTATGTTAAACAGGTCGGACGTCTCTCTTGCTCCGTATACCTATAAGTATGTGAAATAGGTGGTCGGACTTGGGTAAGTCGTCCTTGAACTAAAATCAAAGTTCGGTTACAACGTCTCTAAAGTTCTAGGTGGTTCTGGTGTTAAACTAGAATTTAGAGATGGATAATAGCAAATCTGTAACTGTTATGTACATTTACGGATTTGTTACTACCCATCTCTAAATTCACGCGATATAACCGAACTTCGATTTTCGTTCAAGGACGACTCCCAAGTCCGACTCACGTAAGTTCTGTTTATAAATACGGGCCTAGGGGGGTTTTCTCGAATCTCGTATGAAGTTCTCGCTTTCGACAAATGGCGCAAGAAAGTCTCGAACGCTACTGTATAATGGCTTTCTCGAACAGTTTTCGACAATTTATGTCGCACACTGTACAATGTCGATTTGGAAAATTTGGCAACGTAGCAAATTCAAATGAAATAATAAAAAAGAAGAATTAGCGCTTTCAAATTTTGAATTTGAAATTCGTCAAATTTAAGTGGATTGTCAAATTATATATAAATATAATAGATTTAATAGAGAACTGGATACCGAAAGTAAGTATTTAAGTACAGAATGCTATTGGAATATTTATAAATTCTTTTCAGTGGAGAAACAAGACCAAAAAAAACTACAGTACTTTAGTGGGGCACAGAAGCGGGCTCTTATAGAGTCTGTAACTGCAAACACAGAACTGATTAGCGGAAAATTTTCGAATAGGTTTACACTTAAAGATGCCCAAAACAAATGGGAGAAAATTTATTTATTCAACCAACTTTGTTGTTTCCCGAACACTTTCAAATTCCGGTCGGAATGCCCCGGGCACTTTAAAAACCCAAACATGTCCAGAGTAAATCTGGACGTATGTAAATCGAACCCGTTGGGATGTACTTCGATGCTATATGTTATCAAATCAAAAAGTATGTTTTATCTTTTCCTTATTATAACCACAGCAGCTACCTAGAATCATTTATGTACTTACTTTGGCCTCTACTGGCAGTGCCGAAGCCCGACTTCTATCTTGGATGAAAGGTCTTACTACATCAATTAATGTTCTTGTTCTTTTAAACTGGTTATCCGGCAAATCGAAACAATTTATATATCTATATGACTTTCTTGGTGCTGCTAAATTCTCTAAAAATTCTTGATTTTCAATTACGTTTAAAAATTCTATTTCGTCTTCCATTTTTTATTTTTTGTCGATCATAAATATGCAAATCTCACGTAATGAAGGGTTCGCGTGATTTTCTCGCATAAATAATGTCTATTTCGACATTCCAGAAAGCCAATTTCACCTTTCCTTTGATTTCTTGCGACATTTCAGCTTTCTCGTATGCGACACCGGTAAATCGAGATTCGAGAAAACCCCCCCTACTAAAACTAAAAAATTCTAGACCGTTTAGCCTTGGGAGTTGAGGCCTCAAAAATTAAAAAGAAAAAAAAATGGGTTGACAACATATTGACATTGACACTATTTTATATCGTTCCGTTTGTGTTGTGGTGTTCTGTGATTCAAAATTCAAATTCATTTTCAAATTACTTTGATTACACCATTGTTTTTATTTTCTAGAACAATATATGAAGTTTTTGTTGTTGAAAAAATGAGAATGAAACTAATTTCATTCTTTACGGTATTTCGAAAAATATATTTGTTTAATGTGAACACTACAAAAGTCACTAAATAAAAACGAGATTTAATGCGAATCCAAGCATGTAGGTACATCAAGATTGAATAAGGTAAAACAAATACATCAACCCTATTTTTTGTTATAGTTTCAACTTTAACAAAAAAATGTTTTGTTTGCAAACATTACTCTTCGACAAGTCAGTTCTAATAATAGTTGTGCTATATATCCTGATTTTTAAACCATAAGGCAATTTTGAGCACCTGTATCTCTCATTGCAATTGCTGCATGCATGTTAACCGTCCAACATATTATTTACTTTATACTTCCTTTAAATTGGCAGACGAGTCCATGTAGAAATCTCGCACGTTGCCTTTGAAACGTTTCAGAAATAGTTCAGAAAGTTAGGTATAAAGTGACGTCACACCCCAAAATCTTGGTTGCAACCATTCAGAAATTACGTTTGGTTACAACTCTACATTCTTTTCAACAGCAGGGCGTTTGGGATTTGTCATGGGCACAATAAATATTTGGTGAAAATTTTGAGTTATATGTTGTGTTATCTTGGCAAGTTGTTTTTGTTTTATTCGCCAATATTTTACTTTTATTTATACTGCAAAATAAACAGAATGCAATCCATTTACATGTTATACAGTTGAGTAGCACTTACAATAATTACTAAAACTAAAAATAAATTTAAAAATGGTATACAATTAATATGTAATATTAAAAGTTGGGTTATAATAATTTTTGTTAAAATGTATGTTTATCGAATATTAATTTCAATTTGTTGAAAGACATAAAAAAGGTCAATGTTACTGTTAATCAGGAACAGATTTAGTATTTGAAGAGCATCAATAGGTAAGAATAAATTATGGTTAGAAAATAATGTGTATCTTTGCCTAAAGCAAATATCTGGTGCGCTGAAATTGATGGACGCTAGTAATTCGAGTAAATTAAAATCCATATATAATTTTTGTTAGTTAATTGGGCTTTGTTCCTTCTGCTAAATAGTGTTTCAATATTAAAATCTATTAACTGGTTTTGGTAAGAGATATGTAAGGGGTAGCTTCATATTTTTTCATGTGTAGAGTTCTGACAAAATGCTTCTACACTTTTTCCAAGGTGACCAAATTATACAGGCCTATTGTTTTAGATCGAACGATGCATTATATAGAACTTTGATGTTTCGGTAGAGAAATCATGGCCAGCCCTGAGAATAAATACGAGTCTTCTATAACAGTCCGTTGTTAATATTGTTGTTTATTAAAATTTGAAGAATAAACCACCCCTAGATCTTTGCTTTCGTTTGTTCTCTTTATTGAGGTATTGTAAATTTTATAATCCGTTATCATGGGATTCTTCTTCCTGGTGTAAGTGATTATATTTAGGGATATTGAATGAGAGATTGTTGACATGACAGTATTTGGATATTGCTGCGATATGTCTTGGCAGTAACTCAGCATCAGCTGCAGAGCAGATTGGCCTAAACAGCTTCAGATAATAGGAATTGTGAATGTTTAATATAATCACTTATATCATTGATAAAAATTACAAATAGTAGTGGTCCCAGAATCGAATAATTCCTTCTGTGTTTACAATAATTCCAAGCTGTACAAACGTACTATAAACTATTTTTTGAACATGCAGAGAATGATGTTTGCTGTTTTCTTAGGCCATAAAAAGGTCTCAATTAAATCTTCAAGTACCTGTTCGAATGCCACAATATATACAGTATGGTTCAAATGAAAGGAATCAATTCATTATAATGGAAGTAGTTGGTTTTTCGAAAAAATGCTCGGACAGGTCAATTTTGTTTACTTAAAGCGCAATTTTTTAAATAAAATTCAATTTTCCCCCACTTCCCATTTTTGGGCAGTGACGTCATTGACAATTTTTTTAAATAGTCACCCCAATTTTTTTTCTTGATTTTGATAGATCTTACAATTTCCTACTCGGAAACATAATATTTAAAATATCTTACATAACATTTTTTTTTGAATATAAGTCATTTAAAGATCAGACACATAAATTTTATTTTATTTTGAGAACACAATAAATGAATAAAAGATAATTGTAATTAAGTGCTTAATCTAACAAAATAAAAAATACGAGTGGCACTCGGGGACTGCCGCGGTAAAGCTATTGCATAGCATTTTTTATCAACTTATGCAATTATAATTATTTATTTATTTTATTTATGCAGAATTTTTTTTTCTTTGATATTAATTCAAGTTTTTTCTTTGATATTAATTCAAGTTACACTTTTTGAGCGTGGTGACCGATAAGAATTTGTGAAATTCAAAGGAGATGAAACACTTCCAATTTTCATACAAGAACTCGAAGATCCCATTTCGTTTTTCAATTTTTTTTTTCACTGACGAAATTTTTACTTATATAGCTGAACAGTCAAACTTTTTTGGTGTACAAAGTAGGCCTGAAAAACCGCCCAATATATCCAAAGAAGAACTTCGAAGCATTTTTTGCGGTATTTGCATATACATGCCAATTATTCAACTACTTTCAAACAGGGCCTACTGGAACCAATTGTTAGATATTCCCTGCATCTCACGTGCTATGACCTGCAATAGATTTAAAGAAATCAAACGATTTCTTCACTTCAATGAAAACACACGCAAGGTTCCTCAAGAACAGCCAGGTTATGATAAGCTTTTCAAGATACGTCCATTGCTAAACAAAATACGTGAACTTTTCTTACTTGTTCCTAAAGAGGAGCATATGGCCGTGGATGAACAATTTATTCCGACAAAAGCTCGATCAAGTCTCAAACAATGTAATCCCAAGAAACCACATAAATGGGGATACAAGGTTTTTGTTCTAAGTGGGAGTCTTGATTTTGAATATAATCAACCAGATCTAGAAGCAATGTTATTGTAAAACTTTCAGAATCTATTCCAAGAAATCTAAACTACAAATTATTTTTTGATAACTGGTTTACGAGCATTCCTCTACAAATATACCTCACCAAAAATGGTATTTTACCTTTGGGGACAGTAAGAGAAAATCGTGTGCATAATTTCGAATTCCCTAAGGAAGCAGCTATGAAAAAAAAAAGGTAGTGGTACAGTTATTGAAGCAGTGGCTAATGTCGATGGTGTGGACATATCTGTTTCATGATTTGATAATAAAATTGTGAACACCATGTCAACATGTTGGGATGGTAAACAGATTCTGCAGGAAATCTAGGACGCATATAGAAATGACCCGCCCTCAATGTGTTAAGGTATATAATGCTTATATGGGAGGAGTAGATCTTCTCGATTCTATGTTAGGATACTACCGAATCCAAATTCGATCCAAAAAGTGGTACATAAGGGATTTTTCCATTTCCTGGATATGATATGCGTCAATAGCTGGATACTGTGGAGGCGAACCCTAAAAAATAATGATTTATACCTACTACTTTCAGAATTCAAACTTGGTATCGCAGAAGTTTTGACCAGAGCTTATAGTTCAGAAAGAAAAAGGGGAAGACCAAGTACCAGCTTACAACCTCAACTGGATCTGAAAAAAAAAAGAAATATCCTTTTTCGCAGATTCCAGCCCAGGAAATAATAATAATAATAAAAATACTCTCCCTAATTCACCCCCTTACGAGTGAATTTCAACCCCTGAAGTCGACTGAACGACTTGTGTAGGGAAGGGACGGCTATTATTATTATTATTATTTGCCATGGCGCTCCGGGGCGACTTAAAGATGATTGATGGTGCCATTTGACTTACAGGTGAGGAAAACCTCACCCACCATCATCGAGACGGTAATGTATGGCGAATTTTTTTAATCTGCATGTCATATCAACAGAAATTGAATTTCTATTAATACGCCACACATCAAATCCTAAACCGAACCATGCAATTTAATTAAAAATCCACATGGTCTGGTCTGGGATTCGAAATCCAGCAGTCTCAGACTCATAAACTTGCCTATAAATGAATATAAGCGCGATAGACCGCTACACCACCGTCCCGATAGAACGGACAACTTGAATCATTTGCCAAGAGTAAGTGAAGAACGACAGAGGTGCAAATATCCAGATTGTAAGGGAAAACCCTAGATATTATGTGGCAAATGTTCAGTATTTTTGTCTAAATAAGGATCGCAATTGTTTTAGCAAATTCCACACGGAATATAGGGCAAGATTTTAACTCTTTTGTTAAGATAAAATCTATTTTTTAAAAATAAATCTGAATTTATACTTATTACTTTTGTTTTATTTCCGATATTTGTGCAAAATTTGGCACAAGTCAAAGTTTGACATTTATTTCCTTTAAATATCGATAAATATTTTTTCATAACTCCTAATCAATCATTCTAACGCATATATTTTTTTGACAAAAAAATAAAAAATCATGCAGTAAGGGGATATGATTTTGGTATGAGGACATTTTTTTTAATTAGTTAGGAAGATGGTATGATTTTCGTATGAGGAGCATTTTTTTAAAAGTTAGGAAGAGGAAGGAGTATATGATTTTGGTATGAAGACTTTTTTTTAAAGATCAGTGAAAGGATATGATTTTGAGAATTTTGTTGAAGGGGCTTCGCAGAAACGGGATGAGGGATCTAGCAAGAGGTTACAGCAAGGAGGATTTTACTCGGCGGACTTTTTTTTAGAAATGTGTTTAGGGCTCCGTCAAATATTTCGCGTTTCAAATAGGTTCAGTTACCAAAAAAGTTTGAGAACCGCTGATCTAAAGGCAATGCCCCCCCCCCCTCCCCCCCAAAAATTCGTCCTCGAGCCGCCCTTGACTACTTCCATTATAATGAATTTATTCCTTTCATTTTAAACATACTGTATAGTACGGTGTAGAGTACGATTCAACTTAGAAAAAGCCACAAGCGTCATCAACTAGTCATCGTCTGCCTCACTTTAAAATATTTCTTCTCCGTTGCTCCAGAACAAAAAACATTTATTGGATTAAAAAGTTAAATTTTAATGATTTAAACATTTGTATATTACCTAAATAACTAAACGAAAATAACATTACATATATTTTTTGACTTTAGACTTGCAAAACATTCAGTGGGAAGTAAATAAAAATAGCAACACAATTTTGTAGTTTAAGATTTTTATTACAATTAAAATAATAGTTATTTATGCAACTAGTGCAAAAAGTGAAACTAGAGGAGTACATCCTAGTTCGTCCGTTAATGAACTATTATGCTCTGTTTTTAAACTAAGAGGAGCGATTTGAATTTAAGTTGGCAATTCTATAGCCTTCTGATTGGTCAGATTACAGTCAGTTTCACACATTACTTTTTAGCATGAACATCAGCTAATAATTGATATTGTTGACAGTTCTGACATTTTATAATTTTATATCTCATCCATTACGTTTTTTACTTTATTTCGTAAATAATAGTTTTTCAGTAAGCAATTGTATTGAAAATCTACAAATATGGATCCTTCTACAATGAGTACTATTAAAGGTAGCAATTCCTGAAAATTATTGGTTTTTGAAGGTAAATAATGCATTTTCTACAAAACCTTCAGAATCGGCATGTAAAATAATACCAAATAAAAAAAAAAAAAAAAAAATAAGGTGTCTTCCCTTTCTTGTAAGGCCTTTCAGGAATTGCTACCTTTAATAGTACTCAGTGTAGAAGGATCCATAATTGTAGATTTTCAATACAATTGCTTACTGAAGAACTATTATTTACGAAATAAAGTAAAAAACTAAGTAATGGATGAGATATCAAATTATACAATATCAATTATTAGTTGATGTTCATGCTAAAAAGTAATGTGTGAAACTGACTGTAATCTGACCAATCAGGAGGCTACAGAATTACCAACTTAAATTCAAATCGCTCCTCTTAGTTTAAAAACAGTTTAGTACTCTCGCTGTCTTCACTTTCTTCCGATGAACCCGTATTTTTGTTCGTAAGTAAAAGCTTGGCAACGCCGAAGTTTGGCTCGCAATAATAAGGGATCCATGTTTACGCGATAGCTTCTGTTCGAATTATATTCTGGACCATGCGGCAGTCGTACAGCGTTGCCAAATTATTAAGCAATTGTATCTCTATATTAGAAAAACGAAAAAAAATCGCCAAAACGCCACTGACGCTTAAATGGGATGGACCTGAGAGAGAGGCAAATTATTGCGGCCTTTGTCAGGTATGATGTGTGTGTTCTTAGTTGAATCGTACTCTATTCAAAACTCTACAAATGCTCATTTTAGGGACTGTCAACCTTTGCCGTTGATACTAAACTGTCCAAAGTCTTAAAGAATGCCGACGCAATGGGAGTCTTTTAGAAACAGTGAATAAAAACACAATTTATTTCCAAATAACGTCACAATCTTTCACTTTGTGCGGCGTGGCATTCTAAATGCACCCTAGCATCCACTAGTCTGACAGATTCATTCCAACGACCTGTCAAACAATAGGTGCCAGTGGGAAATTCTTGTATATTTAAGGGGGTAGCGTATGTCTTGTAACTTGGACGCTATTTTTATTCGAAGTAGTACTCGCCAAGCCTGCCAATTTATGAAGAAATGTATAGGTGGGTTTTTTAAATATTATTTTTATTGTGTTTGACATAAAATATTTAAATGTAATCCATTATTAATGATTTTACGTAAAGTAGATAGAATACACCATATGTCGCCACCCTTAGATATACCAAACCTGCCCACTGGTAATTTGTTTGGAATGCCTAATTATATTGAAAAAAAAAAAAAAAAAAAAATGGCGAGTTATGGGAGGAGAAAGGTATAATTCAAACACTGGTGCTTATTGTTCTTGCTCATTTAATTATTTTTCAAACAAAAAAATTATGTCAATGTTAACACGACATCTTTATATTTACAAAATCATCTCATTATACAGTTTTTTTACAGAAAGAAATACCTAGATTTAACAATGTTTATTTGGCATTTGATATTCAAAACTTTCGTCTAATGGACTCCTTCAGCCAGAAATGTAACAACTAACAAATATTACAAAAAAAGTTCTGGAACAAATAAATTTAAGTACATGCTTGGTTAACCATCATTTATTGCGTTTCAAGTCAATATATTGGAGAACAATTTGTATATTTCTTGTAACCTGACAAGTATGTGGAATTAATTCAAAATATATTTAACAATTATTTAAAGGTTTACTAACCTAGTCAAGATTCATTTTATAAATATAACACAATTATTTTAATTTACTGATGCATGTTATCAGAATACAATGTTATAAATACAAATCTCTTTACTTATTAAGCTCAAATAAATTCAGGAAAATGAATTATTGTAAAAACCATTGGAAAACAGACCTGTAGAACTGAACGAAATGGCACATGGCCTAAAACCATTTATTAAAACTAATATAGTTTATTTTTGTAATAGTACGAAACTTTCTCAAATTAGAAAAGTTAAAAATAAGGGCACCTATAGAAATGTCTAAATTTCTGTATTCCAGTATGTGACACGAAAGTAAACAAAATATTTTTATATCTCACAGAGTTTGTAAATTTTACAATTTCCTTTCCGTCACATTGGTAACTTCTCACCATCTTTATTAGTAAGAAAATATGTAAAAAAAAACTATAAAGCATTCCCTAAGAAACAATGTTAAAGAACTACACAATTAAAAAAAAAACTTGCTCCAGTTCACAAGATAATACTGTATTTTTAAATAATTTTGTAGCCCCAAACTGGTAGAATATTGCGATAAAGCAACGAAATGTAACAAGAACCGGAGCGACACTTTCACAAACATGTACTTCAAACAAAATTAAAATGTACTCAAACTGGAGTCTAATTTTGTGTATAAATATTATTTGGGTAGTGCTTTGTATGTATAGTTAATCACAAAAAATGTAGTTTCACAAATCTTAATACAATTAAAAAACAAAAAATGGAACTTTTTACACATCTTCTAGAATATAAAATGGTTCCTACATAAATTTGAGCTTAATAACAACGCATTAAGGTACCTTTTGGAATTTTTGAAAGTTGCTTCTAACCTGACCTTTGATTTTGTGCAAAAAATCATTGATTACGTAAGAATATTAGGAATGTTTTTGAATTTCTTCGCGAAGAAAAGTTCTCTTGCAATTGACTTATTTTTCGTTTGATCTCGTTATCTAAAAAGAGCTTTAATTGCGAAGAAAGTTTAAATTTACTTTAAAAAAAGAGAGAACACAAAAATATCAGTTCTTGAATGTTAGAAGATAAAAGAATTCTAGGATTGCTGTATTATGATATATTCATAAATAATAAATGGTTTTTAAGGTTGTTTAATTTTATTGAAAGTGGTTGCCATTACTCTACTAAAACACCAAAACGAAACAAAAACTTTTCTATCACACCAAAACAAAAAATAAAATTCACATTCTAAAAAATAAAACTCAATTTTCTTTTACCCAATAACCCTATTTTCGTTCAGTCGACAAGCATAATTTATTTTAGTAATGTAACAACCAAGTTTTCTTTACAAAGACTGAGGATATACACAGATGTTGTATGTCAGATTCCGATTAAAATGAACAAATGTTTTTTTTTTAAATAAATTCATTAACTTTTCATAACTCTATCACAATGTATATGTAACTCCTTTTGCTTATTTACAAAATGTTACAATGATTTTTTTTTTATTTTGTAATTTGTTTTGTTGGGTGAGGAATTTCGAACGATTTCCTTAATGTTGGTTTTTCAGGACAAATTGACAAAACGATCTCCTAAGGTGATTAAATATTTTTTAAACATTCAATTTTTTTACTAAAATTAACAAGTCGTTGGCTCAGATTTTACCTGAAATAAAAAAAATGTTCATCAAAAATTTGAATACACAGGGTGTTAAAGTGAACGCCATTATAGAAAGGTAGACCACGTCATCGTATGAACAGACGAGTTTCTGTCGGCATAGTACGCTAGGCAATAATAAGAGTAAATTCAACTTTTCTTTGAAGTAACAGTGCTGCTCAAAATTTAGTTTAGTACTGAGTTTCAATAAGACTATTTGTCTAAGTTGGAATTGCCTATACTATATTACACCATTCAGTGTTTTCAGATAGTTTGTTTGGATTGGCGTGTATTGAATAAAAGAGGATTGTCATTGGTGGTAGGGTCCGATTACAATTAAAAGAACACAACTACGTCATCAATTGGCGAAGTAATTAATTATTGGCTATAGCCGCCTACTGGGGGTTTAGTGGCGTGTTAATATTAATATAATATTTTCAAGAAAACTAAGTTGGCGGTTATAACTAAAGCACACCCGAACAGTCGCTTTTAACGTTATTACAATAAAAAAGAATCATCAATAGGCATAGGTATCGACTGAAAAATAACAATTCAAACAGAGACTTTAAATTTTCAAGAAAACTAAGATGGTGGTTATTAACGTTACTAATAATAAAATTGATAATTTTTACCAGGGGCGGTTTCTCCATTGGTTCATTTATGCAGTGAACACCCAGTTACATTTCATAAAAACACATTATTTTAAAATAAATAATATAAAAATATTAATTCAGTTTTAATAATTTTATTGTTTTCATACGTGTTAATATCTATTTTTGAGTACGCACTGGCTAATCGCATTTCCGTGGCGTCTTTTATAAGCTTCTCTTTAGCTAAAAAGAGATGTGGCAATTTAACAGATCCCTGAAACGTAGTGAAACAATTATAAAATAACTTAAATCAGCTTAATTAGCGCAACGCACACAGTGACGTCACAAAGTAGGGCGGGGCATACAAACTTTCCAGTCATTGTTATAAAATAAAGAGGAGATGCTATGACGATACTAAAAGTGTCTGCAGAGTTTTACGTCATATGTCAAACTCGATCAAGTGGAGTTAGTCAGTTTTAGTGCAAAATAAATACCACACGCTAACGGACACTGACTCCGATGATGAAGCATTCATTCCACCCAATAAACCTGATACCCAAAAACCCTCCACAAGTAAACAGAGTGTGACAGAAACCCAAAAGACAACAAAAGTGATAAATAGCACGAAAAATACAACTGTCCCGAGGAGAGCCACTATGCCCCCGATTGTAATAGATGGGAAAACAGTATAAAAAGTATACGAATAACTCAACAATCATATACGAGGATAAAAAAGACTACACCGACCTGCTAGAGAGTGTTAAAGAATCAAAGATTTCACACCACACTTACACAAATAGGGCATAGGGTTGAATACTGACACAAAATTCGAAGATATCGAGGAGGATATGATACAGTGGTACGATATAAAAACGCGAGAAATATATCAAATGACCACGAAATACAGACCGCTATTTCTTATTGTGACTGATACCAGATGATATTAGCAATATCTTACTAAAAAACATCTCTAGAAAGGGGGTTGTACAATTCAATTATATAATAAACGCAATCTTCAGGCTGCAACACTACCCAAGCAGTCTGAAGATCGCTAACATAATTCCAATATTAAAACCGAGAAAACCGTTGACAGTTATCGACCCATTTCGTTGCTAAATACGGTAGCTAAAATTGTTGCCAAATCATATTAAACAGACTACACAAAATTGAAGACGAACTACGAATTATACCGCGGGAACAGTACGGTTTCAGAAGCGGACACAGTACCGTGGCACAGGTTATTAGAATTGTACATAATGCCAAAGAGGCATCAAATAATAACCTGCAAACGGTATTAGTGGCTTTAGACAGTGAAAAAGCTTTTTATACCGGCGGTCTAATTTATAAAATGCTTGCGAGTGATTTTCCCGTCCACATTGTGAAAATAATTCAATCATACATAACGGACAGACAATTCAACATAAAAATTAACAAGACAATTACAGGACCCTACACTGCGCAAGTGGGAGTACCCCAGGGCTCAGTACTGTCGCCCCACTTGTACACCATTATGACCCATGACATGCCAATGGGTAATAATGGGGTACAAACGGCACTGTACGCCGACGACATCTGTCTTTTCGCAAATGACAGGTCTGCAGAGAGACCAGTGAGAAAGCTGGACAACCATATAAATAGGGACCTAATCCCCTATCTAACAGAGAACAAAATGAAAATTAATAAAGCCAAATCAGAGAGCATGAATGATCATAACAAAAAGGCGTAGCCAAGGAATCATGACTCCACTTAAAATCGGAGATCGGGAGGTCCCGACCTCAAAATATCTCGGTTTCCTGTTAGATGGGGGATTAACTTACGACCTACACATTAAGGACAGAGTGACTAAAAATCACGCGGCAATTAAAACTCTTTATCCCATCCTCAATAGGAAAAGCCGAGTCACTCTGTCAAACAAACTCCTCATGTTTAAGTCAATATTACGCCCCATTCTCACGTATGGTTGCCCAGTTTTTTGCTCAATGGCAAACTGTCATTACAACAAACTCCAAATAGCCCAAAACAGGTGCCTTCGGCTAGCCCTGGGCTATGATCGTTATGCCAGAATCGCAGTAATGCATCGACAAACAGACACACCACTAATAAAAGACTACATACTAAAAACAGCCGATGATTTCTTGAAACGATGTCTCCCCGATGATGTTAGGGATAGTATCCTAAGCATACACCAAGGGGATGGAGTGCGTAGAAAGCACGGCTGTATACACGCAAAACTGGACATTTACAGAAACAGAAACTGACAACATTCCTCCTTGACGATCCCAGACAAACTAATAACAGCTCACGACGACTGGGTATTTAAGCAAACTAGTCGGACAGCGGACTAATCGGTAGACTGGCCATCGAGGCAGCAAACGCGAAATTCGTGGTTACGAAGAGTACTATATACCAGGGTAACGTGGGAGCTCAGGAAGTCGACCAAAATGATTATTCAATGCCATAATTGCCAACAGTGGGGGCATGCCACGGCAAACTGTGGTAGACAGCCACGATGCTTAAAATGCGCTGGTGACCACCATACCAGTACCTGCATAAAAACCACAGACACACCAGCAAAGTGTGTAAACTGCGAAGGAGATCACCCCGCGAATTATACAAAGTGTGAGAACTATATCAGTAAGCTCGAAAGAATGATGGAAAGAAGGCCCAAACAAAGTACTAATAAAAAATTTGTCCCCGCTCCTCAACCTGCCATCAACCAATGGGAGGCCAGGAGACAGAATCGGAATTTTCAAGAAGAATTCCCAGCGCTACCTAATAAAAAAAATCCAGGAAACTTCAGAACTATTAAGAATACCAGCTAGAGGAGCAGAAAACCATAGAAATGCCACCCCCAATGTGGCCATGGACCAGTTTACGGCCCTAAATCAAGAATTTCAAAAATTAAACTCATTAATCAATATAGGCGAATTAACCAGAGCAGTCAGAGCACTGAACGCCAGACTTATTAATTGTACAACGGGAAGAGAGGTAATAGAAACTTACAACGCGTTCATGACGGACGTTGACTTTAACTTCAAACTATTGAACTAAAATCATAACTTACAACACAGTAAATTCAGTAACATTCGCTAAAAGACATTGTAAAATGCTTCTGTGGCTGTTTATGTGACTGCGGAAGCGCTTTTTCTCAGACTAACGTAGATTTCTTTGATCTCTATGTTTTTCGGGGAAATTGGCGTGAGCAGGGGCATGAATGACTGCAGAAATGCACTCATTACGGACAAATATGACTGAAAACAGGATAAAATTTGACGTACATCCTCCATAGCAGCTACGACCACACTGAATAGTCAAATCACTACGACAAATAGTTACCAACTATAGTCGGACGGAAGACTGCACGGTGACGTCATTGCTCGGTGCGAAGTTTTTGGCCTGCCGGAACCTTTGTGTCGAGTGATGGTTGAACGGTGTAGTCTTGTGATTTGACTAATTCATGCACAAATTAACACGTAAACATACATTTAGGACAACCCTGTTTTTTCACTTGGTTTTTCAGGGACGACAGACACAATTAAAATCACACAAAAACTCATTACTATTCCATTACTGATCTGGTTAAAAGCCTATACTGATTTATAATGCTGTAATACAGCAAGGAGGAAGGCCACGACATCGGTCATGGCCCCGTTGGGGTCATCGCAGAAGAGGAATACTTCCGGAATGCGCCTAGGAAGATATCCGTCTGTAAATAAAATATATTTGTATTGTGATTGAAATTGTATTTAATTTGTAAATATGTAAATAAAGATTTTGAAATGAATGAAATTCGCGGTCGTTGACGTTTTTCAGGGATGACACTCACAATTAAAATCAGACAAAAACTTACTAACTTAACCATTATCGCTCTTGTTAATCACCACAACTGGCATATAATATTGTTTTAATAAGCAGATGCCAAGTAAATCCAAAATTATAAAAGTAGTTTATCAAATACGGCCACAACAACGGTAAACTAGTAGGCTACGCTTCCAGCAGACACCATTGGAAGTCCCTCTAATTCATATATTTATATATTGTAATGTATATATTATATATTATTGTATTTGTAAACTATTTAACAAAATTGTACATAATGTAAATAAAGACTTTTGAAATGAATCGCGGTCGTTGCCTCGGTGGACGGTGTATCGACCACTCAGCCTGTGAGTTGTACTAAATAACCAAAGAATTTACATACAAACGTGGGTATTCTATCCACCATAGTCCGGAGGACTCGCGCGAAAAACCCGCCGCTCGGGTTCGGTAGTGTGGAATAATGCATTATTTATACCATGACCTGTACATATATGTTTTGTAAATAAAGTTATTCTAAGTCTAAGTAAGTTTTAGTGAGAATAAATACCATTCTTTTTTAAATAGCATGACTTAAATATAAAAACATTTTCATTCAGTCAA